CGACCTCACGCCGGAGACCAGCGGGCCCCGGAAAGGCACCCAGACGTCCCCCGTGCCCCGGGTAAGTGCGGCCGCCGGAGCCTGACCCCGGCGCCTTGGGGCCCGGCTGGTCCCCGCGGGAGCCCCCACGCTGAGCTCTGCAGTGGCCCCGAGGAGCAGCTCGCTCAAGCCGTGGGCAGGCCGTGAGTTTAGTATGAGCCCCGTGTCGCCAGGGCCCTTCCAGCTGTGTGACACGCGTACATTATTGATCTCTCCGAGCCTCATTTGCCAAGAGCTCGTCTGGGAAAGGGGGGTCATTGTCTTGGCTGATGCATTGTGAGGGCCCGTGACGTCTGCCCGTGACGTCATCGGGGGAAGGGCCGGCACAGTGGCCGGCGCAGTGCGTGTTCCCGTCGTCGGTCGCACAGGGCGTGCTCCAACCTTCCCGTCGTGTGGCGCCCGGTGAGGGCTCCTGCCGTGGCGCCGTCATCCTTGTGATGGGTGGGGAGGGCTTCTTCCCGATGGGTGGTCCCGAGGGGAAAGCTGCTTGCTTTCCCAGCTTTAGATCCAGGAGCCTTGACGACTCACGGAGGTAATATCCCCATCGAGGCTGGGCCTGGCATTCAGGGCTCAGGCATGCTGGCTCTAACCACTGGCCAGTACCATCCACGGTGGCATCAGTAATAGTTAGTGCAGTTGCTGGTACATGAAGGCTCTAGAAATGGTCCCGCTTACTGTTATCAATAACGATCCATTGACTGATTGATTCATTCATTCATCAAATTTGTCTTGAGTGTCCATTATGTTTGGTTGCCTAGCAGCCAAGGAGTCAGAAATGGACCCTGCCATGGGAAGTCCCAGACCAGGGGAGCCACAGGCCCATACCCAAGGGTTTCAACGAGGCAGCGGCGTCCGGGCTACTGGAGGGTCCACACGGGCTCTGGGGACAGCGGCCAGGGGGCACCTGATGGCGGGCCTGGAGCCGGCAGGGCCCTCAGGTGTCAGACAGGACTGGCTGGGAATCCCCATGGACTCAGGTTGTCTTGTTCCCAGATCGGTGCCAAGCACACCTCAGGGGTGTCTCCCCCTGGAGGCCGCTGTTGGTGCCGCCGGCAGGGAGGTTGGATTTAGGGGAGGCCCCCGGACACAGGAGTCTGTGGGGAGACAGGGATGTTTGCTGTGGGCTCAGAACTGGGGCCTGGGCCCGGGGACACCGAGGGGGGAGCCGGTGAGGGAATGAGGAGGCGGGAGAGAGGGAAGGCAGACTCCGCAGTGGGAGGCACTTTCGGGGCCCCTGGCCCAGCCCCTCCGAGCTAGGTCCTGATCGTGGCCCTTCCTGGCCACTGCTGCCCAGCTCTGTCCTCGGCCTCAGCGTGCTGGCGGCCGGCGTGGGAGGGCTTGGGAGCATCTGGGCCTAACGTCAGGGGCCTGGGTTACAATCTCCTCTCCCCGTGACTTTTTTATTTTTGAGGATATTTTTCCATTGACTTTTTGAGAGTGGAAGGGAGGGGGGACAGAAAGAGAGAAGCATCGATGTGAGAGAGACATATCACTTGGTTGCCTCCTGCACGCACCCCAGCTGGGGATCGAGGCTGCAACCAAGATATGTGCCCTTGACCGGTATTCCGTCTGCAGGCTGATGCTCTGAGCCAAACGGGCCAGGGCCCCACCCGTGACTTGACAGCTCTGGGCCTCTGTCCTCCCGGTCAGGCCAGCGGGTACTAGAAACAAGAGCGGTCAGAGCAGCAGCGTCCTTCCCCACAGCGGACACCGGGGGCCACTCGGGGTGTGTATTCGCTCTGATGGGCCAGGGCCTGCTCCGCGTCAGGGGTTGAATACGGTGCCTCATTCCCGGGCTGTGTGTCGCTCCGAGGATGGCACGCGCATGGCGGACGCCCCTGTCATTTTCCCGTGGGTAATCACCACGGCCATCTGTGGGGGCGAGGATGCCCTCGGCTTCATCCATTCGGTGCTCCCAGAGCTCACGGGACAGACGGGCAGACGGGCTCAGGACAGCCAGGAAGTGGGCCTCGAGCCCCCGCTTTCGAGAGGCAGAGACGGGCTGTGAGCCAGGTGATAGGCGGTGCCACAGCCCGGCTTGACCCACACGGAGCCCATCCTGGTTACAAGACAGGTGAGGCGGGGGCGGGGCCTGGGGTGGTCACCCCCATGCTCCGGCTGGGCCCTGCTCTGCCCCCTCCCAGGTGCACCCGGCCCCATCCCTGCCTCTGGC